CAACCGCAAAGCAAATTGACCTTCCCTAACTAGGGAACTACTCGGACTCGGGTACGCGGATCGAGTTGAAACTTTAGTGGTTTATAGACCTAAGTAAGAATACTTGAAAACAAGAGAGAATACCTGCTAAACCCCATAGGCTTCTGAGAAAAAGCTTTTTGAAAATGAACAGTTTAGGCTTGAAATTTATCAAATTTCTGTGTAATCCCAATAGAGAACTGAGAAAAAATTAGTAGAAAATGTGAAAATTAGGCTTGAAAATTTTCAGTATACTGCTTCCTACCTTATTTCATAATTTAATACAACCGCCTTGAATGATCCGGCTATGATAAACTCTAAAAAACTTTCTTCCAGTCAAAAGAAGGAGGAAAGCAAACATTTGATAATTTTCAAGCCTAAATTGTTCATTTTCAAAAAGCTTTTTCTCAAAAGCCTATGGGGTTGAGCAGATAATCTCTCTTGTTTCCAAGTGCTCTTACCCGGGTCTATAAACCACCAAAGTTTCAACTCGAAACGCGTATCCGAGTCCGAGTTGTTCCCTAGTAAGAGAAATTTTGTGAAAGTGCGCACCGCCAAAGTAGGCATCATATGTAATATTTACGTAAATATTAATTATTACGGTGGTGAGAGTGGGTTGAAAAACACCGGCATCACGTATGTTTAAACAGTGCTACCGCGGTCGGTGGCCGGTCAATATTGCGGCGTTACCAAGAACAAAAATTTCTGCCACCGTTCTGTGCGGTCAGCTGTGTTGCCCGCAATAGACCGCAACGCAAATACGAACCATCAATTCACAATTTAGCCAGTTGCCAACCACGGTGTTTTTTTCATTACGCAAGGTCAAGGCTTTTCGTAAATTATGATGCTTAGGGTGTAAGCACACCGAGACGCAATATCGCATACTCAAAATGTTTTTTTTCAATTTTAGAATTTGCGATTTCAGGAAAAATAACTGCTGAAAAAGTTCGAAATTTGTCAGTTTGAAGAATATGATGTGAAAAACATTCACTTACGTTAAAAAAACATTTAGGAACGATTTCGAAAGGGGAAAAACTCTAAATTACTGATTACAAAGTAAAAAAACAAAAGATAATATGAAGGTGAATCAGCTCCCATTGAATAAGCATTTATAAATACGAAAAAAATATTGAAATGAGGAAAAATTCGAGAAGCAAATGAAAAACATTTATATACCTCGAAAAACCTAGCTTCAGAAAAAAACGAATAATGGATAGAAAGCAGAAATTTTAGAAAAAAACCTCGTATGGCGAAATTTTTTTGTTTAAATCTGAAAAAAACCATCAAAAAAACTAGAAAAAAATATATAATTTAGATGATGCATATATCAAAAATCATTAAACTGCATCAGCAAATTCAATTTGGCTCTAATTTACACGAAACCGGTTTCAAACTACGTCAAAGGAACTAGATAATAACTTTTTATTATTAACTGATTAAATTAAAAACTATAGTTTCCGAAATAGAGTGACTCTTTTCATGTCGCGAAACAGATTTCAAAATTTTGAAAAATTAGGACTTTTAGAAAAATCTTCAGCTCTTTTGAGAAAAAAGTTAAAGATCTGAAACCGGTTTAGAAAAATGCGCAATTTAAAGCTCCACAAGATGTACCCATAGAGAGGCGGATCACATAAATGCAAGAAATAGAAAAAAGTAAAAAACCAATGAAAAAAGTGAAGAAATTCAATTTTTGCATCAGAAACCATGAGAAGGGCGCAATAATGCGCCACGGATAAAATGCCGCCGGGACCCAAAATTTCGCATTTTTTTTCATTGCGCGGAACACCGTGCAACAGTCTTTGAAACGGAAAACGCGTCGAAAACGCTTTGAAACATACGCAGATTGGATTTTTCAACGATAAAAAAAAAGCTCCAAACTACAAATCCAATCTTTTTTTTTTCCATTTCGCAAAACTTTTTGAGTTGAACATCAGATTTTTCACAAGCAACGGAAAAATACGTTCCACGAACCAAACGATAGAGCAAAAATATCTTAAGCACTTAGTCAAATTAGATTTTTGAAATTTAAGCTAATAAATTTGTAAAAAAATAAAAAAATATGCTGCTTAAGGCCAGGCTTGTGCGAGGGCCGGCCCGTCACCCTCCCGGCCCCCCGACCATTTCGTAAGCCCGGCCCGGCCCGGCCTTAGCGGGCCTCAAGAAAAAATGGCTCGAATCGCGCAATTTTTTTCTAGTCGGATATCAAGTTTTTTTACGACAAAAAAATTACGTTTTTTTGCTCATTTTTTTCTATTAAAGTTTAACAAAAAAACTATGATTTCAGAAGTAAAAGTCACATTTCGGTGAAAAATTTTTTTAAATGAAATTTAAAAATTTGTTTGAATCCCGGCCCGGCCCGAGCCCACGCGGGCTTTTTTTCCTGAAAAATAAGGCCCAAAGCCCTGGGCCAGGCCGGCCTTGGCCGGGCCGCCCAGCCTGACGCACAAGTCTGGTGGTGGCAAAATTTACGCTCTGCTTCCACTGTGTGGTATATTTTTTTAATCAATCAATTGTTAATTTGTTAGGGATTGATAACGTTATGTGACTTTTTGCGCGCGAAACTCCAAATTGATTTTTTTGGACATCACCAAAAGAAAATAATTTTTTTATAAATCAGATTAAAAAAATTTTTCACTACTTAAAAATTTTGGTGACACTAAATTTATTTAGCTAAATCGACGCCACGCCCACCGCCGCGGCGGGAAATAAAATGTATTGTACGCATTGCAGGGGATGCCTGATGCCGTGTTCAATTTGATTCCGCGAAATGCAAAATGATCTCTGACTCTCCAAAATTTAGTGATGTTTTCCTTTCTCTAACGGGTGTTTTGAATTTCGCGGAAATTACTTTGAACACGGCATGAAAAAAAACGCGCAAAAAGCGCGCAATTGAATTGCATGTATAGACGATTCACGGCTAGCTTAGGACGCAAAAAGGCGTGACCTGTCTGCACTCTCCACTAACCAGGGCACTGTCTCGTCTCTTTTCGTGGCAGGACCCTTTTCTCGATGGCTCAAGCCAGCTGTGAATCAGCTATAAAATTTGCTTTTTTTGCTAAATATATATATAGATATATATTTATATATATATATATAGATATATATTTATATCAAGTTCGCACCGAAAAAAATTCTTCGCAGCATTTAATTATATATTGTGTTAAATTTTAAGTTGTTAAAAAAAATAGTTTTAAAAAAACTAATAAGTTATTTTCGTCGTGAAAAAAAGCCTGAAATTGAAGGAAATTCGCGCTCTTTGGGCCGGGCCAGTCGTTTTCGATTGAGCCCTCGCTAAGACGGGCTCGGCCAAGCCTGCTCTTTGTTTATTCGCCTTGATCTTTGATATGTCGTTTCCAAAGGGAGAATCATTAGAACACGACATGCCTCTCATTTCGGAAAGGGCTTTTTAATTTTTTTTTTTTCTTCACGAAACCAACCTTTTACGGTAGTAGCTAATTTTTTTTTTTCTAGTTGAAGTTTTTGTAACTCTGTGTCAGAGAACGCAAAGTTTAGATTCCAGATAAAGTTTTTTCTGCTACTTTTCAAATATTTTTGTAGCTTCGTATGTCCTCGTAACTTTTCTGAACGTTTATATTTTTGAGCTTACAAAGTTGCAGGATTTTGGATGCAATAGGCGGAAGTATTTTTTAAATAAAAGCAAAGCTTGACGCGGTCGGATTCGTACTTGTCAATCAAGTGGATACGTGTGAGTTTTTTTGGCTTTTTTGGAAAAAAATTTATAAAGGTCTGAGCATAAATATAGTTTTTATTTCTTGGAAAAAAAAGTGGTTTATAACCATTAAGCCAAGGCGTTTCTAATGCCGTGTTCAAAGAAATTCTGGCAGTTTTAAAATTGAAGCGTCATACGTTTAAAATTATTTCCTGAAACACGAAAAATTTGGTATTAAAACGAGATTTTACGCGCGAAATCTCAAATTTTTCTTTATTTCATACAGTTTTGAGAGCTCTTCCTAATATTGTGTAAGGTGTATCGTACAGTTAATATATGATTATTATTTTCTTTATGCAAGACTTTTCAGTTCTTAATTTATGAGTCCACAACTTGTAAAAACAAACCGAACAGACATCCGAGTGCGCAAATGACGCCGAGAGCGCGGAACGACATGATCGTGGTGTGAAGAGACGCCCAAATTCAAAGCAACACGCGAAAAAACTGATAAAGTCGGCCTTATCAAGACAAACTTTCGAAAGCTTGCTTTTATAAGAGCCTTGCGATAAAAAAAAGGGTGTCGAATTATTTATTTCATGATGAGGAAATGAGACAAAACTGGCAACGCCCTTTAAGACAGGCGCTTCCTCTGATGCATGTCGTTGCAGAAATCGCCGTTACAGCAACATACCGTAATCCCAGAAGCCCCAGTAAAACAACCATTTTCTGCCTGAATTCGAAGTTTGAAAAAGAAAAAAAAAATTCGAAATTTCCGACCTACGTTCAATAAATTTGAACTTTTTTTCATTAAAATATTTCGCCGAAGAAAACTGAAATGTTAGAAGTTTTATTCGCATAAGTAATAAATAAAGAACATTGGCGAATATTAGTCTCTCACCTGGTCAGTCAAAATCATAACAGGGTTTGTCAAGTTTATGAAAGTATTTAAATATACTGAAATGTTTCTTTTTTTTTTTTTTGGAAAATTCAATTTTCTCATTTTCGGGAAGTCGCTTTGAGAATTTCCGATAATCACCTTGCAAGCTTTTTTTGTCAACTGCTGAGTTTCCAACTTTTCACAACTTGCTGTCATCTCCGTAAAGTCCTTGTTATGGGAATAGAAGCAATTGGAAAGTCCTTGGTCGCATATTGTTCCAACAAAACTTTCAGACTTAATCCCTTTGACCTCTCCGCGAGATCCTAAATCAACCTTAGTTTCTGGGAAACAAACTGTGACAATAAGAAAAGACCTGTAAAGCATTGAACACAGTCAATAGAAGGAAAAAGTAGTTGGAGAGCGATCAATGAGAAAAGGACAGAGGAAGGCATCCTTCCGTTTATACTTTCTGTGTTCCATGGAAGCCAATACCAAACATTTTTCCCACTGTTATTGGATGGTGGTCATGAGAAAATATCATTCAATTTGACTGATGAAGCTTCCCTTCCCCCGAAAGTTTGGATATAGGAAAGGCCCATCTAATGAAAAGAGAGAGAGAGATTTTCCTTTTTGGACAAGGACAAATTTGCTCAGACCAAACTGTAGGATCGATAGCGTTTAAACAGTCTGTTGAGGGTCCATTTTTACGTCAGTTTCCATGACCATCAACACTTTTTTGGGCAAACTAACGCACTTGTTAATATTCAATGCTTTTGTGCAAGCTTCAAAAAACCGTTTTCACTTTCTGGAAGGTATGACAATTGAAAAAAAAAATTTGTCTTGTTAAAAAATTTTAGGCTCAAAACTCGACAAAGCCAGAATTGTAAATCCATTCGTAGACTACGACCAACACTTTCAAGTTTTCTGAAATGAATAATTAAGGCAATAGTTTTTCAGACGGCTGATCTCTACAATTTGGCGATATGTCAAATACCGGGATCCATGTCGACAACCAACGCCGGCGTGTTCTGCTACTTGCACGCGGCGAAGCGATTTCTGGCCAACAATCAATCGATCAACTCTCACGGCGGAAGGTTGTCTATACATATGAGTGAAAAATAGGAAGATCCTCCAGCATGTGCGAGAAGGAAAACTTTGTCCGAGGGATCGACAGTCTCGGCGACAAGTCTCTTCTGGCACTTGTTCGAGATCCGTTGGAACGATTTGTGAGCGCCTATGTTGACAAATGCATAAGGAAAGTGTGTCCAAGCCTACTTACCCACACCTTTAAACTTTTAGTGGTCAAGGAGCCTTGTGTCATGGATGCTCGAAAAACCTTGACTGTTTTGTCAAGCGCCAGTATCTTCGTTTAATTGCCATTTCTAACAACGAAATCCACACGTCTAAAGAGATTGATCGATTTTTTGCACCGCAAACTTGGTAAAAAAAAAAGAATTATTGCATATAGTCGATGTGCCACGACTTGAAATTTCATGGAACGACACTCCGTTGGGTGGCCGTGGCCGTGAAAGCGCCTTGCCTTTGCAAATTTCGGTCGCGCTTTTCCATTTTTTTTATTCGAAATTTTCATTATTTTAATCATGTTTTAATAGTTTTTCTTCGTGCCAAACTCATAATTATCTTTTCTAGTGGATAGACTGTTTCATTGATAAAAAAATAAAGTAGAGTAATTTGCGAATTTTAAGCGAAAAAAATGCGTTTATAATATTTGAAAGTTTTTTTCATGAGATGGTCTTTGGTTTTTGTTCAATATATTCCGTTATTTTACCTTCATTGAGCCTTTATCGACAATTCTTTTTTTCATTTCAAATCATGTAAAAAAATATCCCAATCAGAAATAAAATACACAGTGAATGATTTTTAAAAAAATTGAATGTTTCTACATTGACGAATTTTTTTATTTAAAAAAACAGATACATAAGTTCAAAGGAAAAAAATTATTAGTTTGCTGGACATTTCGTTCAGCACAACGTTTCCACTGTTCCAAGTGCTCCCTGTTCACGTCCCATTTCTGACGCATAGTTCAGCAATACGATTTATCTAAAGCTCCATTTAAAAAAAGGAACGAAAAACCTTTCTTCAAATTATGGTGCATGTGCTCATGGAAGTACGCATCTTCATTTTATAAGGCGCTCACTTTCTGAAAAAAACAATTAACGACTGCAAACAGAAAAAACGATGAAAAACATTAAAACATGGCTTTAAAAAAACACAGAAACTATTGTAGAATATTGTGGCGTTTACGGCCTATTTCACCCGCAAATCCTTTTTGGTAAGTCTTCGAAAACATTTTTTTGAGAAACGAGAAAAAACAATATTAAAGCGATTGAAGAATACATGAAGTTTTTTTCAAACTTTTTTTAAATCGCTTTTTTTCGAGAAACATCATGAAATTTACTGTGTTCTTTCTTTTTACATTTGTACAACGCAATCCTTTTCAACGATAATATTACATTTTAAAGAAATAAAACAATAAAAAAACGATCGAAATTAGAATGAAAACCAAAAAAAATTAGCGTGGCCGAAGTTGGCAAATTCGCAAGATGCGCGCTACCGCACAAAATCGAAACAGCGGAGTGTTGTTCCATGAAATTTCAACTTGTGGCACATCGACTATACCAGAGGTGGAAGAAATGAGGGGGCCCTTACGGGCCCAACATTCCTGCCTTAGCCATCAGGCCCCTGAAAAGAATCTATTTTCATCCATTTTTCATCATCCAATCATCCATTTTTAGTCTGTATGAAAGGCGGATCAACGAAAATGGTGGTCTTATTTCTAATATAATTCCAGAACTTCTTGCTGTTTGGTCCTTTATCGATAGCTTTCTCTTTTTTTTTAATTCTAAAATCTTTGATAGCTTTCCGGTATTTCCACCAATTAGTTTTATAGGTCAATAAGTCTTCGGATTTATTTGATTTTTCATATTTTATGTAGGAATTTTCAGAGTATCTCTTCAATTTCATTATCTCGGATGGAAGATTAGACTTTTTGATAAATTTCTTGGGTATAAATTGATCAATTAGTGGCAAAGTTATATTCAAAAAAGTGCTGTACATTTTGTCAGCTGTGTCACATGTACTGAAACGATAATTCCAATCAATCCAAGCCAATCTTTGTCCTAAAGATTCAAAATTTGCCTCTGAATAATCTTTTACAGTAAAATGCTTTTCGATGTTAATTTTTGGATTATTTATGTTCACTTTGCAAGTGACTGTTAAGTGATCAGATAAAGGCTTTTCAATTTTTTTAATTTTCCACCATATTTTTCTTACTAGGGTATGGTCTTCCCTGAACATCGAGTTGAAAATTGAGACTATGTGGGTTTGATAGGCCTGGGTAAGCGTTTATGCCCGCGCTCGGAGCTTTCGGCTAGTAACTGGCGGCTTGGTGTAGTGGTAGTGGTCTCCCGAAGCTTGTCAATATTGGGACCAGGGTTCGAATCCTTTTTGCGGATATCGTTTTTTTCCCACTTATAATTTCATCATTTTCAAATTTTTTTGAGAAACTTTTCGAATAATCACACTAAAAACTTTTTAGAAATGGCAATAAAAATATAATGATTGCAAAAAAACTCTTTTTCTACTTTTTTTCTGTACACTGGCAAATAAAAAAATTTGATCGAGAAAAAAATTCGATTCAGGAGGTAAACTATTTTTTTGCCAGTTTTGAAATATTACGGAATTTTTTTTGATCAGGTAGTTGTAATTAGTCTTGTAAACTCAAAAAAAAGAAATTTCTTATAATGAGTTTTTGCAATCATTATCTTTTTTTTATTCTCATTTTCATGAATCTTTAGTGTAGTTCTTTGAGAAATTTGTTAAAAATATGAAAACGATGAAATTATAAGTCGGCAAAAATGATATCCGCCAAATGGATTCGAACCCTGGTCCCAATATTGACAAGCTTCGGGAGACCACTGCCACTACACCACGCCGCCAGTTGCTAGCCGAAGACTCCGAGCGCGGGGATATACACGCTGGGAAAATTTCAACGAGCTTTTCCCCGGTTGCCTGAGGGGTTTAGCAGAATTTTATTTTTGATTCCGAGAGCTCTTACCCAGGCCTATCACACCCACATAGTCTCAATTCTCAACTCGATGTTCAGGCGAGACCATACCCTAGTTAGACGTGAAAATTAGATCCAAAATATTGTTTCCACGAGTACTCTGCTTTACCTTCTGCGAGAAACCCTTATCACACATTATATCAACAAAACTACTACTCACAGAATCAGTCGACTTCAGTGTATTCCAATTTATTTGTGGGAAATTGAAATCACCCACAATTATGTGCTTCCCATCTCCAACTTTTTTGTTTATAGTTGCCAACAAGTTTGTGAACTCAACTGTGAATCGAGGGTCCCAACCAGGCGGCCTTTAAACTGATGTTAGATACCATGGATTTTGCATTTTCGAATCTGCTATTCTTCTCGCATGCTGAGCAGGGTAACCCCGCCGTGCTAACACGGGGTCTCCGCGGGTGCCCCCGTATTAAACCCGTATAAGCCCAGCTGATAGAACTTTTGGCACTTTTTAGCCCAACTGAGACCCCGCTTTAGCCCAGCTGGGTTACCTATTTTTCTTACACCCGTTGTTCCCCCGTTTTAGCCCAACTGAGACTAAAATAACCTCAGAAACACGGGTTTAATACGGGTACACCCGTTGAGACACCTGCTCAGCATGCGAGTTATTGTTAATGCTGCAATTGATTTTGACACGTGTCGGTTCATTTCTTGACAATTGAAAGATGTGGCACATAGTGTTAAAAGACCTCCTCCTTTCCTATTGTTTCTAAAAACGTAGAAACTCTGAAAACCTTTAAAATGCGTCAATAGGTTAAGGTCATCATTTTCTGAAAGCCAGGTTTCACAAAAAACATAAAAACTCGAAAATTTTGGCTAACACTCAAAATCCAATATACTCTTCTTACTTTTCAAACCTCGAGTATTCGCTATAAAAATCTTGTGTCCGCTCATTGTGGGGAGTTGGAAACCGTCTTATAGCCGCTCTTCTCCTGAACCTGCTCCTCAAATGGGGTAAATGGGGTAGGATTCTTTTTCTTGAAGATGGTCAACTTCGCAATTTTTTTTATTAATCTTTTAAATTTCCGGTGATTGTGATTTTTTTGTTTTATTTAATTTTCTTTGTGGAGTGCGGTCATACTTTTTCTTTCTCTAGGCGAAAATTTTCAGATTTATGGTTAGAGATTTGCTAAGAGAATAACATTCCGCCGCCACAAAATCAGAACTTTCAAGTAACCTTTAAATTGAAAGCTTCGAAAACAACGATTTTACAAGATTTTATAAAATTCCAATTTTTCGCATTCTTTTTTTTTCCAATGGCGTTTTTTTTTTGGCCATCGTGGCCCCTGGCGCCCTAGGCAGCGACTTATTAACATGGAAGGTCATGTTTGCGTAGGGTTTGGAATTTTCTATAATTTTGCTCAAAGGATCTTTGATGGACTGGGAATCGATCCCGCTTAGCCGCTATCTGCGCAAAATTTTCGTTTTGGAGATATGATTTTTTAAAGTTTTTTTCCTTAAACACGTGACATTGTTCGGAAGGAATATGTCCGCAGCACAAGTCATTGCATGGCAGCTAGGAGCGTGGTGTAGTGGCTAGCGCAGTAGGCTGCGAAGCCTATGATGAAGGTTCGAATCTTTTTGCGGCTATCGATTTTTGCCATTAATTTTTTTGAGGGATCATGATGAACATGTCGAAATTTCATGAATAAAAACGTTCCAAAACCGTTCGATGGCCATTCTCTTCCAAAAATAATTTTTTCAACAAAGTTTTTTTTGAAAATTACTTGAAGTTGCGGCATGCTTCACATCATTTTTTTTTTCTTCAAATTTATTTGCAAAAAGGTTTAGACTACGAAAAAAATTTTTGGGGAAAAATCACTTTTAATGAAATAAAAAAATGAAAAACTTGAAGAAAAATGTTTTCAATAAAGCTCGTTTACCAGGTATTTATTCATATTTTGTTTGGACTTTTCTGTAGCAAAAAGACGATACTTGCCTTTTGACATAGTGAAGTGCTACCAAACTCTCATTCATTTCAAACAGGGCGTGCGAAGATCTTTGATGATAATTCAGCGCTTTTTTCAAAGGGTTTCTGCTAATCTTCAAAAAAAAAAAAGTCTCTGATGATTTGATGGTCGACCAAAACTTCAAGAAATTTTGAAAAAAAATTTTGTTGAAAAAATTATTTTTGTAAGAGAATGGCCATCGAACGGTTTTGGAACGTTTTTATTCATGAAATTTCGACATGCACATCATGATCCGTCAAAAAATTGATGGCAAAGATCGATAGCCGGGGAAAAGATTCGAACCTTCATCATAGGCTTCACAGGCTACCGCGCTAGCCACTGCACCACGCTCCTAGCTGCCATGCAATGACTTGTGCTGCGGATATATTCCTTCCGAACAGTTTACTGTTTTACTGTTTATTGCATCTTCAATGTAAGAGTACATGTGCAATCGACTTTCATTGATTTCAACTGTGTTTAAACGGCGGCAGGAGCTGTGGCTTAGGCAGAGAAGTTGTGAATTTCGCTCGTAGAACATCAGGTACAAGAGAGGTCGTAGGAAGAAGTACGGTGCCGGCTTTCCAAAGGCCGATGGCAGAGATTGAGCCTTTTCGCTGCATGCAGCTCCCAATTTTATCTACCCCGGAGGGATGAAAGGCTTGGTCGACCTCGGGGGGACTCGAACCTACGACCTTGCGGACGTTAGAAATGAATTCCGAACAGTGTCACGTTAGAATTCCGAACAGTGTCACGTGGTTAAGGATGAAAACTTTAAAAAATTCATATCTCCAACACGAAAAGTTAGCGCAGGTATGCGACTATGCGGGACCGATTCCCAGTCCATCAAAGATTGTTTGAGCAAATTTATAGAGAATTCCAAACCCTACGCAAAAATGACCTTCCATGTAAGAAATGAAATTGGCGGCTCACGTCTGTTTTGTAATGTAAACGTTTGAAAACGCTTAGGGGCGCCATTTCTCCACCTCTGGTTTATACAATAAAACCGTTGCTTCTCAAACTATCATTTGCTTCCTGGCTTTTTTTTCTCCTTATTTCTTCATGGCCCAAGACTTTTTTCTTCTCGAAAATTGAAATGTTAGTGGTGTACTAGACTAAATGAGACCTTTGTAACATCTCAAATGTTTCAGGTTCTGTGGTTTTCACAATCAATCCGAGCGTTTCACTATTGTGAAATTGAGAGCAAGTCACCACCAAACGGAAATGATCGATTCTTACATGTCGGCACTCAAAAGAAATCACGTTCCAACTGTAAAAGCAAGCTTCATCGGCCACCAACTCTCGAGTTTGTTTCTTTTTCCTATCAACTAATAATCCGCTTCCAAAAATGGAGCCTTTGTCTCTGAACTGAAAAAGGCCAGAAATTTTCGCCACTCCATTACGTCCATGGAAATTCGATCTACACACCAGAAAACGTTATTTACTGGAAAAAAAAGGAGTCGAGGACCACATCAGAAAACTTTGGAAACTATTTTCAGAAGTGAAACCTTCAAAAACGCAGGCCTCAGATGAAATTTTCTCGCGGCTGAAGAATGACCTGCCGCTCTTGAGGCTCATTCTGTACATGTATTACCATGATTATCTATTTTTCGGGTTCATTTTACCGTCTGAAAATGGATAAATTCATCTAAATGTAGCTGAGATAAATTTCGAAAAAAAAAATTGATTGTGAAACATGCGCGGAATTGTGAATAAAGCTTGAAAACGAAATAAAAAGAAAACAATTTTGCAACAAAGCCTGCCTTTGAGGTCTCTAGAGTTTCTCCTTGGGTGTTCATCTCCATCATCGTCTCCAGAACGCCGTTTAAATTCCCACAACTTTCTGAACAATTTTTTGTTTACGTCCGACTAGTTCCCTGAGGATAGATGCAGTGTAACCGCCAAAACAAGGGTGTTTGAAAAATGAAAAACAGCATTTGAGTCGTCGCAACGGCGAGTCCACAGTCGTCGTCGCGACGCCTTCTGAAGAGTCGCGGATAAGTCGATTAGGCCGAGTGCCAGAGGGGAAAAATGTCCTCGAATTACGTTGAACACACGGAGATCGTTTCTGTCCTCCCGGTGGTGGCCGAACGCGTTTCCCAACTCTTTCCCTAATTGACTTCCTTATTTGCGACTTTTAAAAGCTCTGCTCCTTTGAATTTTGTTGAATTGAAGTGTATCAGAAAAAATTGTATTTTATCTTTCGTATTGAACAGTCGTTGCAGCATCTTTCCCTGAGATGTGTTCATTTCGATTCCAGTGTGTAATTCAATTCAATATAGTAATGATCTTCTTTTAAAGTTAGATAAAAAACTGATAGACTCATTTTTGCTCAGGAGAAAACCTTAATCTTTTAATTTACAAACGCGTAGGAACGCCTATATTCGAATTGTTTTTTTCCCCGAGTTCCCAGACTTTTTTTCTGGTAATTTGAAAAGAAGAAGAAGAAGACTCGAAATGCTGATGCTGGGATATTTTCTGAATTTCCTGCCAATTTCCGCTTCTTTAATGAGTTTTGATGGCAAAATTAAAGCGCAAGGCTTTTTCTTCTTCTTCTATTGTAGACCGGTTTGATGAAAAAGTTCCTAGAAAAAGTCATCCTTTCTAATTTAAAACGTCTGGAGGGCTTCCCGTCTTCTAAAAGCTTAAGCTGCCGATATTCATTCTTTTCCTCTTTTTTTTTGTTGTTCTCTCTTGGTAGCCCGGTTGATATCTGATTCACCAAAATGAAAACATCTCGCTTTTAAAAGTAATTCCCCAAGCTGCATTCAAATTTGTTTTCTAAATCTGCCAAATGAAATATTTTGTTTATTTGCGCAAAGTTGCATTGGTGTAGCAGGATCGTTCTTCCAAACTCTTATTTAGTGTTTAAAGTTTTTACCATGATATCAATAACTCGTTCTCATTGCTCTTATCGATAAAGTTGGGATGGCGATTTTGGATAAATTTCCATAAAAAAATTTGTTCTAGTTTTTGAGGATAACTATGATTATAAAACTTAACTATTTATTTACGTACATAAAAATGAATTTATAATAATTTTTCTTCAAGTCTCAAAAAAACTTTCATAACTTTTTTTGCATATCATAATCATTTTAGCAAAGTTTTCGTAATTTTTTTCTGAATTCCAATAGTTGCGATTTTTAATTTCAGAAACCAAATTTTTGTTGGAAAGGAATTTCGCGCTTGTTGCGAGCTTGAAGAAATGACAAACTGAGATCACACACTTCAGCTCGAAAAAAATTGTTCAAGGGATAAACTTTTCATTCGTTGATCACTTTCTTTCAGAGCTCTGGGTTCGTTAAAAAAATTCTTCAATCAATAAAGTGTAAGTTCAACACCTATCAAAAACAGAAAAAAAGTATATTTTTTTCCGCATTGACATCTCGAAGAAATTTATATATAATATGCTAAATTGAACCTTTCAGATGTACTTTGCGGTCAACACACATGAGAGTCCTAATTACAGGTTTCAAATGCACTAAAAATGAATGTTTTGTTTGGATCGCATCAGCTTCCTTTTTTTTTTTTATAATCTCCATTTCAAAGTTTTCAAAGAAAACATTTAGAGATCAACAACGCCTACAATACTTTTTCTTTTCTTTTTTCCCCCTTGAACATAATGATTCGAACCAATTAGAGTAGTTTGTTGCATATAGGCCTCCATGATGTGTACTTTTCGGTATATTTTAATGTAAGTGAACATGTCCTGAGCAAAGGAAGCTATGCTGCAACTTCAAAGCAAACATCAAAAGCCGACTTGGTAAATACGGAAAAGTTTCACAGCTCAGGTAGTTCAATCCAGAAGAAGAACGGGCTTTGTGACATTCATCTGTATGTCCCATTTCATTTATCATATCTTTTTCACAAACTGATATCCTTATCGAATGAAAAAATTGGAAAAAAAAAAAGTTTTTTTTTTCCAAAAGTTTAAATCATATGTTTTCAGAGATCTATTAGTTTTCCAGATTCGACTATATTACGAGTAAAGAACCAACCATCTTGCAATTTTTTCCCTCATCTCTTTTTGATTTCTGAGAATCCTCCAACCATTACGTCATGAAGTTGAACGTTCCGAAAATCAGCTGCTTTTCAATGTGAATCTTACGTGACTAAAAGCTTTTTGAAAATGAACAGTTTAGGCTTGACAATTATCAAACTAGTGAGTAACTGTTCCTATGGTGGGGACTGCCGTCCCCACACCCCTGCCGTACATGTACGATATACCTTTATGTGAAATTTTAGTCGAAAAAAAGTGTACTTGAAAAAAATTGTACTTGTAAAAAAATTGTACTTGAAAAAAGATGCACTTGAAAAAAATTGTACATAAAATTGTATTTTTAACAATTGTATATAAAGTTGTACTTGTAAAAATTGCAACTTTTATAAATACAACTTTATGTACAACTTTTATAAATACAATTTTATGTACAATTTTGGCCCATAATCTTCCACGCCCCTGATCTTCCACGCCATTTTTTTATAGATACAATTTTATGTACAATTTCATATACAACTTTTATAAATACAATTTTATGTACAACTTTTATGTACAACTTTTATAAATACAGTTTTATGTACAACTTTTATAAATACAACTTTATATACAATTTCATATACAACTTTTTATAAATACAACTTTAATGAATGCAATTTTATGTACAACTTTTATAAATACAATTTTATGTACAACTTTTTATAAATACAACTTTATGTACAATTTTATGTACAACTTTTTATAAATATAATTTTATGTACAACTTTTATAAATACAGTTTTATGTACAACTTTTATAAATACAACTTTATATACAATTTCATATACAACTTTTTATAAATACAACTTTATGTACAATTTTATGTACAACTTTTATAAATACAATTTTATGTACAATTTTGGCCCATAATCTTCCACGCCCCGATCTTCCACGCCATTTTTTTATAGATACAATTTTATGTACAATTTCATATACAACTTTTATAAATACAGTTTTATGTACAACTTTTATAAATACAATTTTATGTACAACTTTTATAAATACAACTTTATATACAATTTCTTATACAACTTTTATAAATACAACTTTATATACAACTTTTTATAAATACAACTTTATGTACAATTTTATGTACAACTTTTATAAATACAATTTTATGTACAACTTTTTATAAATACAGTTTTATGTACAACTTTTATAAATACAACTTTATATACAATTTCATATACAACTTTTTATAAATACAACTTTAATGAATGCAATTTTTATGTACAACTTTTATAAATACAACTTTATATACAATTTCATATACAACTTTTATAAATACAACTTTATGTACAATTTTATGTACAACTTTTATAAATACAATTTTATGTACAACTTTTATAAATACAATTTTATGTACAATTTTTGGCCCATAATCTTCCACGCCCCGATCTTCCACGCCATTTTTTTATAGATACAATTTTATGTACAATTTCATATACAACTTTTTATAAATACAATTTTATGTACAACTTTTATGTACAACTTTTTATAAATACAGTTTTATGTACAACTTTTATAAATACAACTTTATATACAATTTCATATACAACTTTTATAAATACAACTTTAATGAATGCAATTTTATGTACAACTTTTATAAATACAATTTTATGTACAACTTTTATAAATACAACTTTATGTACAATTTTATGTACAACTTTTTATAAATATAATTTTATGTACAACTTTTATAAATACAGTTTTATGTACAACTTTTATAAATACAACTTTATATACAATTTCATATACAACTTTTATAAATACAACTTTATGTACAATTTTATGTACAACTTTTTATAAATACAATTTTATGTACAATTTTGGCCCATAATCTTCCACGCCCCTGATCTTCCACGCCATTTTTTTATAGATACAATTTTATGTACAATTTCATATACAACTTTTATAAATACAGTTTTATGTACAACTTTTATAAATACAATTTTATGTACAACTTTTATAAATACAACTTTATATACAATTTCTTATACAACTTTTATAAATACAACTTTATATACAACTTTTATAAATACAACTTTATGTACAATTTTATGTACAACTTTTTATAAATACAATTTTATGTACAACTTTTTATAAATACAGTTTTTATGTACAACTTTTATAAATACAACTTTATATACAATTTCATATACAACTTTTTATAAATACAACTTTAATGAATGCAATTTTATGTACAACTTTTTATAAATACAACTTTATATACAATTTCATATACAACTTTTATAAATACAACTTTATGTACAATTTTATGTACAACTTTTTATAAATACAATTTTATGTACAGTTTTTTTGCCCATAATCTTCCACGCCCCTGATCTTCCACGCCATTTTTTTATAGATACAATTTTTATGTACAATTTCATATACAACTTTTATAAATACAGTTTTATGTACAACTTTTATAAATACAATTTTTTTGTACAACTTTTATAAATACAACTTTATATACAATTTCATATACAACTTTTATAAATACAACTTTATATACAACTTTTATAAATACAACTTTATGTACAATTTTATGTACAACTTTTATAAATACAATTTTATGTACAACTTTTTATAAATACAGTTTTATGTACAACTTTTATAAATACAACTTTATATACAATTTCATATACAACTTTTTATAAATACAACTTTAATGAATGCAATTTTATGTACAACTTTTATAAATACAACTTTATGTACAATTTTATGTACAACTTTTATAAATACAATTTTTATGTACTACTTTTTATAAATACAGTTTTATGTACAACTTTTTATAAATACAACTTTAATGAATGCAATTTTATGTACAACTTTTTATAAATACAACTTTATATACAATTTCATATACAACTTTTATAAATACAACTTTAATGAATGCAATTTTATGTACAACTTTTATAAATACAACTTTATATACAATTTCATATACAACTTTTATAAATACAACTTTATATACAATTTCATATACAACTTTTATAAATACAACTTTTATGTACAATTTTATGTACAGTTTTTTTCCCATAATCTTCCACGCCCCTGATCTTCCACGCCATTTTTATAGATACAATTTTATGTACAATTTCATATACAACTTTTATAAATACAGTTTTATGTACAACTTTTTATAAATACAATTTTTTTGTACAACTTTTATAAATACAACTTATATACAATTTCATATACAACTTTTATAAATACAGTTTTATGTACAACTTTTATAAATACAATTTTTTTGTACAACTTTTATAAATACAACTTTATATACAATTTCATATACAACTTTTTATAAATACAACTTTATATACAACTTTTTATAAATACAATTTTATATACAATTTTTATAGATACAATTTTATGTACAATTTTATGTACAACTTTTTATAAATACAATTTTATGTACTACTTTTTATAAATACAGTTTTTATGTACAACTTTTATAAATACAACTTTATATACAATTTCATATACAACTTTTATAAATACAACTTTAATGAATGCAATTTTTATGTACAACTTTTATAAATACAACTTTATATACAACTTTTATAAATACAACTTTATGTACAATTTTATGTACATAAAGTTTTTTTTTTTAAAAGTTTAAATCATATGTTTTCAGAGATCTATTAGTTTTCCAGATTCGACTATATTACGAGTAAAGAACCAACACCATCTTGCAATTTTTTCCCTCATCTCTTTTTGATTTCTGAGAAAAAAAAAAACTTTTAGGGTTGCAAAACTTCCAACTTCTTAATAAAAATAGACCGTGGGAACGGTCGATAGGCGGTTCTCTTCTCAATAGGACACTTTCTCATTAGCCCAAATCCTTGATATTTTTGAATCTCTCGCGTTTCATTCGACGGAATGCACTGCTCACGTCACTCGCGGATCATGTCCAGAGCTGATCCAGCTTCTCGCGAACTCTGGACCTCAGTCAGCTGCGAGCGCCGCCATTCTCGTCCTGCTACAGAGTTGGAGATGATGTCCTCCCACAGTTCGACGACGTCCCTCAGTTGGCACGACTTCACCAGCGACGAGAAACGCCAGATCCGTCGTCTTTGGACTGCGATCGACGCCAAAAAAACGTACGTTGCGCAGGACATCTACGAGATGATTTTCAACCAGGTTAACATCTTTCACAAAAATGAAGATAATCACGTTTTGTTTCAGTGTCCTGAGGCTCGGAGGCTGTTTCCCAAGATGAAATTTGTCAACAGCAAACCGGATCGCAGGAACAACGAATTCACTTTTCAGGCAATGAGATTTATGCAGGTCGTCTAGTTCAAATATAGAAATGACGATAACACTGAGCTTTCAGGTTATTGAAGCTGGAGTTGAGGCACTTGATAATTTGAGCTCTTTGGATGTTATATTGGATAACCTCGGTCGAAGACACGGAAAACTTGAAGTAAATGGAAAGTTCAGGTTGGAAAGATGAAAGCAATTGGCCAGTAAACATTTGAGATAAGAAAAGACATCTTGTCGAAGTGCCAATTAAAATATCATTGCATTTCAAGACGAACTCGGTTTATAAAAGCATCTTTGCGAAAAAAATGTGGAGCTTGAGAAATTTCAAGATTTTTGTCTCTATAAAAAAATTTTTTTTTCTTCACAGGTGGGGTTAATCCATCCTAGGGGTCTTTCGTCCCTCCCTGCAACATCACCATACCATCCCGATGTTGCGAAAAAGAAAATGATTGATTTGAATTAAAATTGAAAAAAAAAAAATGAAATTTTGTAAAATTTCGAATGAGCTACTAAAACAGCTTTGAGTAATTTTTTTCAAAGTGGGGATTTTATTCACTTTTTTTTTTGTTACCCTGTATTTATTTCATTTGTGTAATGAACTATCATTTCCAGACCCTACTACTGGTCTACGTTTCTGGAGTGTTCCGTGTTCTGTGTACGCAAGGAACTGACCAATTCGCGCAAGTTTGCCAACGAAGACATTGACGAAGCCATCGTATGTTTCCGTACGCTGCTGCGGGACATTATGCGCAAAATAAAAGTGAGTCTGATACGCCTGGGGCTTGTCAAAGTAATCTTCTCACCAGACTGGCTACAACGCCGACATCTGCCACCGACTCACCCAAATGGCCATCAACAGCGAACAGCGGAAAATGTCTGTCCCGACAATTCACAAAAACAACAGCGAGGTACTTTTTTTTTCCAATAAATACATACCAGCTTCTGAATATCAGAACTTTAAAACCTATGCTGACGTGCCTTAATTTTCTTGCTACCTACTGGTATAAAAATCATTAGTTCATTTAAAAGTTGGGAAAGTCTAATTTTTACAACGTTTTCATTCGAACTTTATTTATTTTCAACAGAGACGTAGTAGGGACGCTCAGGTGCGACTTGTTTGGGCTCTGAAAAAAAAAAAGAGTTCTGAGAATTTTGAGTCGAACGTGTATAGATCTATTGAGAGGTCAGTGTGTACATTAACACTGACTCGATTTTCTAAAAATAAACTCAAGTAAGTTTTTCCTTGAGAAAATGTCACGTAATTTCAGAAAGACTTCGACGAGCTGCTGTGAGAAAAAAGCAAACAATTTTTTCCTATTTTTTTCTTCACAAGACGTCATTTTCCTTGTAGGCCTGTTCACAGTTGATTATTTTATCCGATTCAGTTTTTTTTTTCGCTTGAAGAAACCTATCTATGTATTCTCACCGGTTGCGGTTATTTGAAGCTCAGCGAAATTGACAATTTCGTAAAATAGTAAATATCCATAATTAGTGAACGATTTTATCAACCAGGATTATGAGAAAAATGAAAAAAAGTATTAATGATTTTCCGAGCGAAAGAAAAGGAAGAACCTACAACATTATGGGGAAACCAATAAAAAAATTTTTTTAACTGATTTATGTGTAACTCGGTTACCTTGTGTCCAATAAAAATATAAGTTCATCAGTATACAATAGTAAATATTTGAATCAATGTAAAAAAAAAAAGTTTATCGGCGTAGCTTGATAACTAAGAAATTATTAGGTTGTTTACTAAGTTTCTTTCTTTTTTTGAAGGACTTTTTTTAAAAAAAGTTTTTTTAACCAGAAAAAGCACTTCTCACAATTTTGCTTCATATAGTATTACTACTACACAATCTGAAGTTCAGATTGAAATTAATTGTACTACTATAACACTATGCAGAAAAAAGATACAGAACTTTGTCCGAACTCGAAAAATCTTGATTTTTGGAAAGTTTTGCGAATTTATTTTTTATCTTACTTTTTCAGTCTTATCATTTGATTAAGTTACATAAAACGTAAACCGAGGTCGTGTGCTTGCTCGTGAAAGTTTTCGTTTGCTTCCAAAAAATTTAAGAAATGAGTTATCTATTCAAAAGCCAGACCATATAAATTTATGATTGGCTAACATTTTTGAAACAATGCGCATCCTTTTTTTTTGTTTGATTTTCCCCGAAATGCATTTTTAATTAACTATCAGGTTTGAAGTTTTGATAAAAATTATAAGCATGACATTAGCAACCGACAGCTAATGTGAAACTCGAGGATTTAACTTTACAGCCTTTTTTCATCAAAAAAATTTTTTTATAGCACCAGGGCAGTGGTTTCTATCCACTCTCAAATTTTCTGCTCTTTTGCTATCTCTCAAGTTAATAAAAAAACAAGTACAACAAAGGTCACTGCAGCCATGTGTCAAAGCAGAAGTGGTTCAACTAAGTTTTTCCGGCCTAAAATTTTGAGAAACGGTAAATCAACTGAAATGACAGCTTGATGAACTTCTGGAGGCTCTCTGACGGCGTCAAACGTTTAGACCTTCTGAAGAAAACGTGACTGATACAGATAGGGACCACAGACCTATTTTTAGAACTCAAGCTAGCTCCTCGTTTTTGTTATAAAAAAATAATGAATTTAACATGTAGTATGCGAAAAACAGAAAAAGAAAAAAACGAAATTATTAAGAATATTAAGAATAAGAGGAGAAAACAATATTTAAAAGTAATTGAAAAGCAAAAATTTTTGCACTGAAATTTTGGTTTTGCGAATTCTCATGCAATCTGCGCGCACCCTCATTTGCAAGGTCGGCACGGTTTCAGGAGCCAAAAGAGAAGGTTTTACGAGCTGTAATCCCACTTTACCACCATTTTCGTCTCAGTGACTGCACAAATACAGCCTACAGTGCTCTTTGAATCCCATAAAAATGTAATTTCGCCTACTTTTTATTCACCTTTTTTTTGTTGAGAAAAATTTTTTTCGGCGATCTTGAATTTTTTTGATTTTATTGCTTTTATTTGTTTGAAAATTAAAAAAACTCTTATAAATGAGTAAGAAAAAACGCGTGTCTTCGACCGGGAAATGTTTCAAAATTACTCCCAAAAAATTCTCCACCTTTTTTACCACTCAAAACAGTACATTTGCTTGTAGTTGTCAACAAGTATTATTTGAGCAATGTTTTTCTCAATATGAAAAAAGCATAAACATCTTCCAATACTGCATTGCAATTGAGAAAAACAATTTTTTTGACTTTGCGCGCCTCTCAATTTTTTTCGGCGAACATAGAATTTTTTTATTTTTTTGGCTTAAAAAAATTGCATTTACTGTTTATAAGTAGTTTTCAAAAAATCAACTTTGTCCGCGACCTAGATGAATATCAAAACGCAAAACTAAGTTTATTTTCCGAACTCGCCTCACTATTCCGTACGATACTCCGTTGAAACACATGGAAAGTACCTGAAAACCTTTTCAACGGAAAGAGGAACCTTTTCTACATTTATGCTGAAATTTTCATCATTTTTCATTGTTTCTATCGGCTGTACGAAACAATCAAAGACGGAATACCAAAAAAATGGCCTTTTTTCCCTCGCGAAAAGGGGCGGGGCTTTGCGGTCGCTAGATACAGACCATGTCTGTACTAAATAACCACAAAAAATCAAAATCGACCTCAAAGCCGTTGATGAGAAAAGCGTCTAAATGTTAAGCCACCATGTCATTGTCATTGATCACTGACCAAAACTTTTAAAGAAAAAAGATTTTTAGGCTGGTTTTTTGTTTAAAAAGTCAGCTTGCCTACTCTATCTGTACTTCCATCCTCCCTCGTTGTCATCAACTACAAAACATTAAATCATTTTTTTAAAAGAAACAAAAAAAATTTTTCTAAGAAGGGTTGAAATCGAGTTAGTTGCCCTTTTTTGAGTATATCATTGCTCGTTTTGAAGTCAGGAACTCCAGAATTAACAGTCATGTTAACAGATAGCTGAGGATGACGGGGGAGAAATTGTTTGCTGTTTGAATCCAGAATTGAAAAGTTATACACCAAATAACTTTCAACCGAAAAAGGAAAGAAACTTAGTAAACGACCTAATAATTAGAGTGTCGTGCGACAGAAATACGTCAATGAGAGAATGAAAGCTTGGAGAAACCCGGTGGAGAATTCCAAGTTTGACGTTTGTTTTGGCGTCTTTATTGGTCTGTCTTGTTTTTTTTTTCACGAGGGAATCAATCGAATTTTTCAAGTTTTTACAAAGTTTGCTCGACACATGAACCCAAAGAACCTTCAAGGAATAGTGAGAATATTTTCTTTTAAATGCAACATTTTCAATGAAAAAAAAAAGGTCTCGTATAGATTGAGAAGGAACACACTTTGATAGTTGATAAGCGAAAAAAAAAATGTCAGATTGCGGAAAGTCTCGGCAATATTTCGTCTCTGCGGCCGTTCGCTCTCCGCCTAAATTCCCATTTATCTTTATATATGCATTCTCTCTCTCTCTCTCTCATCTCCCCTGTATTGTTCAGATACGACTCGTTGCCGAAAAAAAAAAATCGAAATTTGACTTATAAACCAATTTGTGAGGTTCTTATGGTCAAATTCTAAGAAAAATGTCATTTTTCATTTTTCGTTTTGGGTTAACGCAAAGCTGCTCTATGGAAAAGACAATTTGAAATTGCAAATTTTTTTCTAATGTCGTGTTCAAAGTAATTTCCGCGAAATGCAAAATACCCGTTAGAGAAAGGAAAAGATCACTAAATTTTGGAGAGTCAGAGATCATTTTGCATTTCGCGGAAATTACTTTGAACACGGCATAATACAAATCGACTTTCGTCATTTTTGTGCACTTTATTCAAATCCTTTACATGTGTTTTATCGCAATGTCAAACTACCAAAAAGTTTAACGACTGCTCAAGCTGATTATTGTTCACTATGTTGTCAAGTTCTGAGCCCTCTGCCATCTGGGAACTATTTGTAGAGTTTTTAAGCCCTCGTTTATAAAAAAAAAGATTTCGTCTACTTTATTCCCTCCGTTCCGTTAAAAAGTAAAGAGGTTGGCATGACTGAGAGGGCTAGTTTGAAAAACGAAACAAAAAATTGTACTTTAAAAGATGATACTCTCATTTATCAGATGCCATTTCTTATCTCTCTTTTTTTTTAAAGTTGGTATAGTCGATGTGCCACGACTTGAAATTTCATGGAACGACACTCCGTTGGGTGGCCGTGGCCGTGAAAGCGCCTTGCCTTTGCGAATTTCGGTCGCGCTTTCCATTTTTTTTTTATTCGAAATTTTCATTATTTTAATCATGTTTTAATAGTTTTCTTCGTGCCAAACTCATAATTATCTTTTCTAGTGGATAGACTGTTTCATTGATAAAAATAAAGTAGAGTAATTTGCGAATTTTAAGCGAAAAAATGCGTTTATAATATTTGAAAGTTTTTCATGAGATGGTCTTTGGTTTTGTTCAATATATTCCGTTATTTTACCTTCATTGAGCCTTTATCGACAATTCTTTTTTCATTTCAAATCATGTAAAAAATATCCCAATCAGAAATAAAATACACAGTGAATGATTTTTAAAAAAATTGAATGTTTCTACATTGACGAATTTTTATTTAAAAAAAAACAGATACATAAGTTCAAAGGAAAAATTATTAGTTTGCTGGACATTTCGTTCAGCACAACGTTTCCACTGTTCCAAGTGCTCCCTGTTCACGCCCCATTTCTGACGCATAGTTCAGCAATACGATTTATCTAAAGCTCCATTTAAAAAAAAGGAACGAAAACCTTTCTTCAAATTATGGTGCATGTGCTCATGGAAGTACGCATCTTCATTTTATAAGGCGCTCACTTTCTGAAAAAAAACAATTAACGACTGCAAACAGAAAAAAAAAACGATGAAAACATTAAAACATGGCTTTAAAAAAACACAGAAACTATTGTAGAATATTGTGGCGTTTACGGCCTATTTCACCCGCAAATCCTTTTGGTAAGTCTTCGAAAACATTTTTTGAGAAACGAGAAAAACAATATTAAAGCGATTGAAGAATACATGAAGTTTTTCAAACTTTTTTTAAATCGCTTTTTTCGAGAAACATCATGAAATTTACTGTGTTCTTTCTTTTACATTTGTACAACGCAATCCTTTTCAACGATAATATTACATTTTAAAGAAATAAAACAATAAAAAAACGATCGAAATTAGAATGAAAACCAAAAAAAAATTATGCCGTGTTCAAAGTAATTTCCGCGAAATGCAAAATGGTCTCTGACCCTCCAAAATTTAGTTATCTTTCTCTTTCTCTGACAGCTATTTTGAATTTCGCGGAATCACTTTGAACACGTCATTAGCGTGGCCGAAGTTGGCAAATTCGCAAGATGCGCGCTACCGCACAAAATCGAAACAGCGGAGTGTTGTTCCATGAAATTTCAACTTGTGGCACATCGACTATAACTACAGGGTGGCCCAAAAGTATTGTCGCATATAAAAATAAACGTAAATTTTTGCAGACACAATGGATTTTGCTGAAACTTTTTGAGTCAGACTAACATGCACTATACAGATAGATAAAACCAAAGTAAAACGTTTCTATTTTGATTCATATGCGTAAAAAAAATGATTTTAAATCATGTCGACTAAGCCCGCCGCCGCCGCATGCGGGGGTCATGTTAGAACTTTAATTTTTTTTTTTAAGATCTCAAAACTTTTTTGGAGTGGTTAATTTGTGCATCGAAGGTCCACACTATAAGTTTCATAATACATTTTGAGATTTTGCCTTTCTTCCAAAACGTCAGGCTCCAGCTAAAAATGACCTTCCTGCCACTTTTTTACGTTTATGCTTTTAGATTTCCTTTGGCCCACTGAATTGAAAGTTGGCATGAGAAATGATGAGAGGTTTCTAAAAATATTTATCACTTCGATTTATCTGTTTTGCACTTCTGGCTCGATTACCATCAAGAAATCGTCGACAGACCCACACGACATGATTGAACTTAGAAAAATCCTCATAAGTCAGCTTCCCAAACGTTTTGATTACTCATCTTTTGCAATCTACAACTTTTATCAATGAGGCACATAAAGAAAAAAAAGAATTATAGAATTTGATTCTACGAGAGAAAAAGAAAATTTTTTCGCAACGGACTTTTTGAGCTGCGTGCCAGCAATGTCAATTTTTCGTCTGTGTCAGCCAGATAAAACTTGCTGCTATTTGTGTGTGTACCTGAGCCGATTTAGGTGAAATTTTCGGGAGACATAGAAGAAGAAGAAGAAGGGACTAGAATGCTACAAAAAATGTAACATTTGTCCAAAACTATTTTTACTTATTAAAATGACCTGTTTGTATTTGCGACAATACTTTTGGACCACCCTGTAGGCATTCGCAGCGTCTTTTTTTTTTAAATTTTTTATTTAACATTAAGGTGCCTTTCCGAAAACTAATTTTTTTTAAAAATTGATTATATATTCCTTTGAAAACACTCAAATTTCTAGAATACCTTCTTACTACTAACCATGATTGAATTTCATTTTAAAAAAATCGTATTTAGTTTCAGGTTTCGAAGCTTTTCAAAGTTCGATTTCCACAGATACGAAACCTGGATATTTGAAAATTTTTTTTTCAGGTTTCAAGTTCAGGTTTTCAATGCAGCTTAGATATTTTATATATGGTGCTGACGGAATTTCAATATCGAAAAGTTTCATTCATTCGTTTTTAGTACTAGCGACAGCATGCCTGACATTGATTTACGCCCCTCGACTCGCCTTCCACACAACCATGATCTGCGAGAAAAACGAAAACTCTTGTGAGTCAAAGTTGGAAAATAATTTGAACAAAAATGAACAGAATAAGAATTTCATTTGCAGCTTTGGAGTACTTGACCGACAAAGACCTTTTGGCCTTGACAAAACAATCGGTCGCCTATGGACTTTTGCTGGCTTTTATCCCTTTTACTGCGGCACATGTTTTGGGGACCAGGTATATAACCTACGCTCAAATCGCTTCGAAACAAGAAATCACAGAGCCAAATAGGATTATTTTTATTTTCGTTTTGAAACTTGTATTGCTTATTTATTATATTTCTCAAAACTTTTTAGCTTTGTGCAGGAAGATTTTAATAGGAAAAAAAAATGCGAAATGAAATTCGACCATATTCCGTGTATCTAGCCTGGTTTTTTTAATATATATATATACATTATCTTTTTAAAGATAATGTATATATATATATATATACATTATCTTTTACTATGTACAACTAATTAATAAACAAAAAATGTGCAAAAATATCATAGCTAAATTCAAATTCCTTTGTATATAAAAGTTTGACTCACGATGGTTTGTGCTTTGAAAGGAGGCTGACAAGGAAACTTTCAGAATAGTGGTGACGATATCAGGCTTTGTTGCTGCAAGTGCTTGTGCCGCCTATCCTTTCGTCCAATCCTACGGTTACTTCCTTCCGGTTTTCCTGCTCAGAGCGATCCAGGTAGCTTTATCAGCCTTAAGCCGTCAACACCAAGGACCCGTCAGGGAGCTCCTCTTGTCACTTTACTGTGGGTAATCGCACGAGTCTCGCATGAATGGGCTCCAAAAAAGGAAATTGGCCATTCGATCGCGCTTTTGTCGTCAGTTTATCAGGTTTTACTATTTCCTTCCAACTCGAAATTGTCCGTATATCAGTTGGCTCCGCTTCTCGCCCCTTGGCTCTCTTCGGTCATGTGTAGCTGGGGCGACTGGCGCTACACTTATTACGTTCTGGCTGTAGCCTGTTTTCTCGTACACCTCTTGTTCTTTATGTTCTACACGGATGACGTCTCTAAAAACAGGTTAGAAAGTAAACTCGGATCGAACTCTGACACACCCTTCCAGGTTTATAAAAACCGAGGAGGTCGAGAAAATAACACAAGGCAAGGCAAGTGGTGATGATGAAAAACTCGGAAATATCCCATATGTCGCAATTCTAAAAGACGTCACCGTTTGGGCGCTGTGGATAGTCACTTTAGGCTATTTCTTGGCCATACTCACTTTTCTGCAATGGGGGTCTCTCTACATCACACAGGCTGATGACAAGAAACGAGGCTAATTTGGCTAACTGCACATTTTTTTTCAGGCTCTCGGATTTCCAGTTCAAACCGCCGGAGCCAGTCAGGCCCTCACTCAGATTCTCTGTTTGATTTTAAAATGTGTACTGGCAAATCGACTCGATGCCAGTTCTACAGATGCTTCGAAGAAACTTAAAGTCGCATTTATAGTCGTCGAGGCGCCGGCTCTAGCTTTCCTAGCGATAGCGTATTATGTAAGACAACACAGAAAACACCGAGTCAAATAAGAACCATTTCAGAGCTCTAACGAGATTTTGAAATTGGTTTCCATTTCTTTGTTCACTGCTGTTCACGGAATCGCGGTCGTTGTCGTCATCAAAACTCAAGTTTTGGTTTGTGTTTTATCAAAGTTGAACCGAAACATTTTCAGGGTTTTTTTTTCTTGCACAGTTTTGACAGAGCGTATCGAAAAATTGAATCCTATGAACAGCGAAAAAAAAAAGATGCGGAATAAAACGACGTTTCATTCAGCTCATAATTGAAATTTCAATATTCTACTCAAAATTGTACGAAATTCTGTCTTTTAGAGATTCGAATCCTGATTTTTTCGGTGGAAGTTTGTTGGAATAAGGTAACAACTCACTTTGTTAACGTCAATCAAAGTTTAATGTCGTTAGCTTTTCTCAAAGAACAGTATCTCATATTTCGTACACACTTTAAAAAAGTCATCCGAAATCATCATAGCGACATATATATATATATATATATATAACTAAATGGAGAAAAAAAGCAAAAAAATTATAAGAGAAAAAGTTTTTTTATAAATTTAACAAAATCTCATAGAGCTAGGAAGCACTCAACGATTAAAGAGGCCAGACGTCACTATTCTTTGAAATGTCTAGACATGAATTGTTTTCGAAGAAAGCATTAAAAGTCTTAGAGGGCAGATATGCCGGAGACGTATCCTCTCAATATTTGAACATCAATGATTTTTTTTTTTAGGTGAGATAGAGGATCTTTCATCAAATCTTCTAATGATGAAATTATGTTTTTCCTACATAATACTTTTTTAAGAAGTAGAAATTTTTTTTTCCTGTGTACATAGCAATTGAAAAACATGTAAAAATTTTTTTCTATGAAAATAAGGTTGAAATTTGAAACTTCAAAAGCGCTTAACGTATCTATTTGAGAGAGCCGGAAAGTATTCGCATATTTTGGCGAACGGCAACACGGCCACTGTTGTGGCCAGTCTATTTGTCCTGCCTATAATCGTCAAGTATCTAGTCCCGACGGGAACGGAGGAAGAGGTTTCAATTTTTTTTCAACGGGAAACTACTTAAGAAGTTATTTCAGTGGTCGCGAGTTTTTCTCATGATTGGCATCATAGTTTTCGTGAGCTCTATTATCTTTCTCAAACTGTCAACTGCAGCAGTGCCTGCGCTGTGGGCTCAGCTTCGACGCGTTTCTGTAGAAAACATAGAAATCCAATAATGATCCTCAGGAATATTCAAAATCTTAATTTTTGCCAGTTTGACGAATAAATGAGTTTTTAATCTTACGTGATTGTTGAATCAATATGTTTAATAGACTTACTAGGGAACTACTCGGACTCGGGTACCCGTTTCGAGTTGAAACTTTGGTGGCATATAGACCCGGGTAAGAATACTCGGAAAAAAGAGAGATTATCTGATAAACCCCATAGGCTTCTGAGAAAAAGATTTTTGAAAATGAACAGTTTAGGCTTGAAATTTATCCAATTTCTGTTTTCCTCCTTCTTTTGGCTGGAAAAAAGTTTTTTAAAGTTTATCATAGCCGGATCATTTGAGATGATTGTATTAAAATATAAAATAAGGTAAAAAGCAGTATTCTGAAATTTTCAGGCCTAATTTCCACATTTTCTTCTAATTTTTTCTCAGTTCTCTATCGGGTTTAGCAGATAATCTCTCTTGTTTCAAAGTACTCTCACCCGGGTCTATAAGCCGCCAAATTTTCTACTCGAAACGCGTACCCGAGTCCGAGTAGTTCCCTAGTTAGTCAAGGGTTGAAGTTATGAGAATTCTAAATGCTTTAAGAGAGATATTTGAGCAATGCAATTCAATGAATTCTATGTTTAAAAATTTAAAATTTTTTTAAAAAATGAAAACCTTATTTAGAAATTGGTTAAATATTTTTTTTAAAAAGGAAAAATTAAATTAAACTGTACAATTGTGAAAAACCAAAGCAAATTTTTAAAGAGTGAGTTTCAATGGAACCTGGCAGATAGAACGGTTCGTAGTCTAGTATGGCTATACAGTCGTTGGTAAAGAACTACTGCTAATGTTCTAGTCAAAATGAACCGCGCGATTAGTTGTGTAGCGCGTCAACCTCTTGTGATCGTTTGATAGCATGTCACGATAACAAGCAAGCAACACTGAAACTATACGAGTTTCGCCTCGACTTGTCTCCTTGTGTGTTCATTCCACACAGCTCCGACCAACCATGCCGACGTGTGTTCGCAAGAAAATTCTCATTGTGGGAGCCGGCGCCTCAGGACTTCCGGCTTTCAGGTAGTTTCACTCTATGTCCAAATACTACATTTTATTTTTTCTTTTTTTTTTGTAGAATAAGGGGCTAAATATTTCAAAAAATTTCAAAAATTAAAATTGGGATAGATTGGCTGCCGAAAAAAACACTTTTTAAATTAAAACTTGCGCTTAACTCTTTAGACATGCTCAATTGTACGATGTAGATGCGACCTGTTTCGAAGCTTCTGGAGAGGTCGGCGGGCTTTGGTCCTACAAACCCCATGAAACAGACCGTGAGAGCAAGCATTTTGCAATCGCCCACCTGTCCAAATTTTTGAAGAATCTTCGGTGATGAAGTCGACCGTTATAAACACTTCGAAGGAAATGACGGCGTACTCGGACTTCCCTCCAGAAGGGAGAATGGCCAACTTCATGCATAACACTGAGATGCACCGATACTTGAAGAACTACGCGACCGCGTTTGGACTGACTGAAAAGATCAAGTTCCACCACAAAGTGACTTCCGTTCTTCGGTCAGATGACTACTCGAAAAGTGGTCGGTGGACGGTCTGCTACACAGACGAGTAAGTCTGAACTCTATAAACTAGAGTTCTCAAAACCAAACGTTCGAACGAACGTTCGACCAAACATTTTTCGAACAAATGTTGAAACCAAACTTTTGGTTAAAATTTGAAATGAACGTTTCGTTCAAAAAGTCATTTTATTAAAGTTCGCTTTTGAACGTTCAACCAAAATGAACGTTCATTTTTCGTTCGTAAAAAGTTCGTCCGAAAAATCAGAGGTGGAGGATGGCTGCCCTCTGGCCGCCCTGCCTGCCAAGCCATAAACGCCCAAAAGGCAGAAATGACTTTTTCAAAAGTCAACGTGGCGCGACTGTCATTTGTAAGGCGAAATCGCCCTAGCATCTAGAAGCGCTTGTTTTGAGCGATGTATGAAACTTTTTTACAAAAACACAAAAACACGAAAAAATGGTGGTATGAAAAAAAGATCAGCGAAAACTCGAACGGCGATTTTTCTGATTTTTTCATATCGCTAGGGAGCTTTCCGACGGAGAACTTTCCGACTAATCCTTTTCAAATTTTTTGCTAAATAAACTCTTCGTTTTGAATCCTCCCATATAAAGTAGGTAGTTGATTCATGATTAAAACACAAAAAAGTAGACAAAAAATGTTTTAGGAACCGAAAACTAAAAGGGAAAAAAGTCGGAAAGTGGTCCGTCGGAAAGGTGGCCGTCGGAAAGTTCCCTAGCGATTTGAACAAATCGGAAAAAGCCGCTGTTCGAAAATTCGCTGGTTTTTTTTCATACCACCGGAAAAATCCAGGTTGAGAACTGTAAGCCTTCCACTCTTAACGAGGTGGCCTGGCGCAATAGGATTTTCAGTCATTTGACTTTTTTGGAAACCAAATGAATCAAGAGAAATACTTTTGCATCAATTTCATGGCATCTCAAAATTTTTTTGTCGAAATAGTTCTCTAGTGAGATTGAAAAGGTAGCCTTTTGACCCGTTCCCGTGACAATTCCCTGCTGAAATAACTTTTTACAGTAGATTAAAAAAACGTTAACACGAAGTTGCGAAAAAAACAATTCAAAAATTTACAAAAATTGATAATGATTAGTTCAGGGCGTTATCGCCACGTACTTGACCTAGTTGCCAAAGACCACGTAAATTAATGGCTCATTTCTATCGTTTGGCTTTTTTTGGCTTGGCTTAGCCGCCAAGCCAAGGACTGCCTTCCCAATCCTCCACCTCTGCGAAAAAAATGAACGTTCATTTTTTTCATTTTAAAAAAATTTCGTTCAAAAAAATGAACGTTCATTTTTTTTATTTTAAAAAGTTCGTTCAAAAAAATGAACGTTCATTTTTTTCATTTTCAAAAAGTTCGATCAAGAAATGAACGTTCATTTTTTTATGTGAAAAAAACAAACGTTCATTATTATAAGAAAAACAATTTTCGAACTTTTGGTTGAACGTTTGAAAATGATATATCCGTAAACTATCGAAAAATGAAAAAGTTCCTTTTTTTAAACGGTCATTTTTTGAACGTTCGGTTTTGAGAACTCTACTATAAACCCATTTGAAATGAGTTCAAACTCTCGTCTCCACTAGGGGTTTTATTACAGTAAAGGGGTGAACCACGAAGAGACGTTCGATGGAGTCATGCTTTGCTCGGGACATCACACCCTGCCCCACATGCCTCCCAAGTACAGAGGCCAGGAAAAGTTTCGTGGCAAGATTATCCACTCTCACAGCTACAAAGACCATCGCGGTACCTTCAACTAGACATGCTGATAAGAAATAAAACCCTGTTTCAGGTTACGAAGACAAGATCGTGGTTGTCGTTGGCATCGGCAATTCCGGTGGAGACGTGGCCGTAGAACTCAGTCGGATAGCCAAAAAGGTTTACCTGGTAACCAGACGCGGAAGTTGGATTTTCAATCGGATATTTGACTATGGAGAGCCTATGGATCTCGTTCTCAACAGGTTAAAAAAAAAATCTCTTTCATGTGAGTTGAAAAAAAAAAGTGTACTGTAGGAAGTTTTTGAACGATCTGAAAAATTTTGTGCCGAGTTCGCTGGCTAGCTGGTTCATTGAGAAAAAACTCAATTATCGTTTCGATCACCAACGCTACGGACTCAAGCCACAGCATAGAGTCTTTGGGCGAGTTTTTCACCACTTTTGCTGTACAACTGATCTTTCGATCTTGTAAAGTCCACTTTTGATTCAGAGCTCATCCGACGGTCAATGACGAACTTCCAAACAGAATCGCTTGTGGCACCGTGTTGATAAAGCCGAACATCTCGCAATTCTCAGAGAACGACGTTATATTCGAAGACGGATCTGTTGTAAAGAGCGTAGATGAGGCGAGTTCCAAAAGTCTCATTGAAAAGGATTAAAGGCATAGGGGCAGTTAAAAACGTGGTTTCAGGTGAAAGCAGTATCTTATATAGTTTTTCTTTGCGAATCGAATGGTGTACTCGAAAAAATTACAGATGTGACAACTTTAGAAGAAAAACGCGATTTTACTTTCCCGCCTTTAATTTTGAAAAAAGCTTTGGAACGGCCTACGGACAAATGTTTACCGTAGCCGTGCACGCGATGTTGCGGACGTCTCATTAGACTCGCATTTTGTGAGAAATAACCGGATATCTGCTTCAAATTAAGGATTTCAACTCTGAAAAATTGACTAACAACACAAAAAAAAACACACACCGATAACAAAGAAAACACAAATAATCGCTATCCCAATCGAAACATGTGTAAAATCTACAAAATACTGCTTTGAACTGAAACACCGTTTTTTACTGCCCCTGCCTTTAATGAAATGATTTCTTTCAGGTCGTCATGTCTACTGGTTACTCGTTCGAGTTTAAGCTTTTAGAAGAGGGAAATTTAGTTCCAGTGCTAGAAAACGAGGTTAGTAAGTCAGAGAAAAAAAAAAATTGAAATGAAATCCTTGACTTTTCAGGTTGAGCTCTACAAATACATGTTTCCTCTACAAACTGCCGACAAGAACACTCTTGCAATTATTGGCCTTATTCAGGTGAAAGTCCTTACAAACTGAAAACTATTGATATTTAAAGATGAGAGCTGTCATTTGTTGATTTTCTCAGATCTCACTTTTCAAAAACCCTACTCAGGCTGAATTATTTTAGCCATACGGATCGATCATGCCTTTGTCAGAAATGCAGGCGCGCGTTTTTTTCTGGAAAACCGTAACCGGAGGATCCAAACTCCCTACTGAAGCCGAGGTTTTTGATTATTGAAGGCATAATTTTTTTTCTCTTTTTAGATGAGAAAAGATGTGGAAAAAGCTCGGAATGAAATGAAGAACCGCTATGTAACCAGTCGCCGACACACCATTCAGGTGCTCACAGTTTTTTCTTTTCCATCATGAGAAAAAAAAGTTGCCGAAAAAAAAAACAGCGCCAGCTCAAGAAATGACTGATATATTTGCAAGTTTTTGTCAGCTATCCCTATACAAAAAACAAAAAAAAAAGATTGAGTGCTAAACTAAACTATTAGCAAGAAAGATAAACTGTTGCTATCAATGCTTGAAGTATCTCAAAACATATTTATGCTTTTAAAAAAAGTTCATCAGAAAGTTTTCTGAAAAAAAGTTATATATATATTTTTTTAGCTATTTGCCAAGCTCCAAAAAAATGTTACTTTCCAGGTCAAAAATCGGAGTAGGAGTGAGATTATTAAGTTATACAAAACAAAACAAAAAAATGAAATGGAAAATTTTTGCCCGGAGGAAATGCCTGAAGATATGGAATGATTCTGAAGTCGGTAGTCTGTCAGAGACAGTCTGCAGACGCCAATAAGAAAAACTGATGCCGTGTTCAAAGTAATTTCCGCGAAATGCAAAATGATCTCTGACTCTCCAAAATTTAGTGATCTTTTCCTTTCTCTAACGGATATTTTGCATTTCGCGGACTCAAGTTGAACACGGCATAAGATATCTCCCCATAAATTTGAAGTTAAAAAAAAAAAGTATGATCGTACCATAAAATTTCGAGGTCGACTACGTGCCGTACATCGAAGACCTCGCCGCTCTCGTTGGATGCCAGGTCGACATGAAGAAACTCTTATTTTCCGACCCTGTCTTGGCGTACAAGGTGAAAATCGATACTTTCTAACACTTTTATGAAACTATTTTCCGAGAACTACGTTCCAGATCAACACAGTTTGGAAACAGAAAAGCCCATTATATAAAATGAAGTTCCCTGAGCAAAGAAAATCCAGTCCTCAAATCTCATCAATCAGTAAAAAAGCAGAAGACTAATTTTTTGGCTTTTTTTTTTTGATATTCCTAGATTCATTATGTTTTGCAAGAGAGGTTTGAGGTGTACTTCGGCCCGCGAGTGCCTTACGTCTACCGTTTGCACGGACCTCACGCCTGGAAGAACGCCCGTCAGGCCATCTGCGAAGTCGACGAACGTGTCAGAAGAGTTCGTTTCGATCTGCAGTGTACTTCAAAACATCTTGAGAACTCTTAAATGCGCAAAGGGAATTTAATAGTTTTCTATCGTAAAAATAACTGAATTTTTCAGTTCGGTAAAAGTTGCATTCTTTTTAAAAAAACAAGTTAACGACCATATTTTTTTCAGTCCCGTCATGTGTGTCTTTGGAATATCTTTAAAATGTTTTTGACACACTTTCAAAAATATAATCGGCTCTTTTCAGGCCACACGCGATGATCTCATCATTTCACCCGACTACAGTCTGCTTTATGCACTCGGAGTCCTTCTTCTCATCATGGGATTTCTAGTATTCTCGTTTTGATTCAGTTTTTTGATAAAGTGTACAGGTCCTCGCAAACCATTGTACAATAACAACTAAAAAAATATACATTTAAAAGTTCTGAATCCTAACATACCTTTTAGAAGGCAGTAAAACATGGGGTTAAGGATATGAAAGCAACATTATAGAGTTTTTCCTAGTTCCCAACGGTATACCTGAAATCACACACCGTTCGGAGAAAAACGAGTTTAAATTTAGGAGGAAATTTTTGAATTGGCAGGCAAAGGGCGTTTTTGGTCAATGTTGCTCCATTGAGAAATTCGCGCGTTGTCGAAGACTTATTTCAATTCTTTTTCAGATTTTGTCTTTCGTTTTTTATCGTTTTTTTTTCTATTGTTGTTGTGAATTTTTCTATCGAATGCCGTATTTATCGGAGAAACGGAACAAGTACAAAACAAAAAATAATGTGCATCGGCGGCCAAAAATTGCTCCGAAACAGTAACAATATTTATTTTGGAACAATTTTCTTTGATTACGAATAATTTTTCGTTTTGTCCGATGAACACGCCATAAAGAACTGGAGGTTTTTTTTGTGCAAAATTTGAATTTACATTCATGTTGCTGGGAAGAGCTTGAAAATTCAAAGTTTGCGAAATTGCTTATTTTGTGGTTATTAGCGTTCAACGCTTATAGCTTGCGTTTCTTTCTGCTTTTAAAAAGATATTAATCGTAAACTCATCAAAGAAAAAAAACTGACTGAAACATCGTTTTCGTTGAATCGCAAACCGCTACTCCCTGACGTCACTTTATGACATCATTCGGAACACAAGAAATAAGCGTAATCAAAAAATTTATGCCGTGTTCAAAGTAATTTCCGCGAAATGCAAAATGATCTCTGACTCTCCAAAATTTAGTGATCTTTTCCTTTCTCTGACAGCTATTTTTTATTTCGCGGAAATTACTTTGAACACGGCATTAGCCATATATTTATTTTATTTACGTGAAAAAATTGAAGAATGGGAAGAGCCTGAATTGCGCCTTACGCCTTTGCATAAAAAAACTGCGCCCGGATTGCGTTTGTCAACGTTTTGACTTTTTGTGAATGAAGATTTTATAATATTTTTTTATTAATTTTTATTCCATTTCCCTATTTTCAGTTTTTAAATGGGAGTGTCACAAAATGCCGATGGGTTCCTTAAGCCCATTTTATCATGAATTATTTCGAATATTCGATTATTTTTTTACAAAAAAACCTTTTCAAGGTTTCTATAAAAAAAGTAATATAAAAAAAGTTTTTCAATCAAAAGAGGATTTTTTTAGATGTGATAATTTTCTGTTTCTTATGTGACTGGAAAGTTTTTTTCACGTCGAATCTAATTTTATAAATTTGAAACGTGAAAAAAACAAATCAAAGAATATGGCTGCGTGTGCGAATCGCCAAGTCAAGATGACGTCATGTCAGGGAGTAGCGGTTTGCGATTTAACGCGAAGTTTTTTTTTTTGATTAGAAATCTTGAGTTTTGTCAATTAAGCTGTAAACTCAAACATGTTTGTAATTTTGAAGCGAAGGAGCGTAAAGTTGCGGGATCAGATATAGGCCATTCCGCGCCAGCTTGTCACGCTTTTTTTTCCGCTAAAAGGCCAGGTCAAATTCAACCAACTTTCGCTTCAAGACCTTTGTTTCTTTCCGTTATAAAAGCAGAAATTTGATGTAATATTGTATACGGTCTTTTTGGCGGAAAGAAAAACGTGACAAGCTGGCGCGGAACAGCCTATAGAAAAAGTTTGTAAATCTTCAGCATGAAATGATAAACAGTGTGTTTTTGCGAGAGAGTGCAGCTGGATGAAGAAAAGGCCAGCTTTCCCTGACCCGTGTTGAGTTTCGAAATCGGCATCAAACGGGAAGAAAGTCGGCGAGCCTCGAACATTTATTGATCTTTCGCAGAGCCACAGAATGAGATCACTGCTCGAATTGCCGCCACATATTATTCTTAAAATCCTTCAAGAGGTAAACATTTTTAGTTAGCTTAGGGGCGTTTTGAATTTCGAAAAAAAAAAATTGAAATTTTGAAGTAAACTTTGCAGAGTAGCGTTGAAAACTTCCCTTCGATTCGTCTTACATGCAGTCTTCTCGACAACTACATCGTCAGTTATCGCTCTCTTCTTCCACCAATTGAATACTACTATTGCGAGCTCGTAAGTCAATTTTCTTACCAAATTTATCGAGTTTTCTTTTTTTTTTCCCAAAGATATTTTTCATCTGTTTACGAAACATCACCAATTTTAAGAGGGGTATTTTGTTCAAAGTACTAGATTTGGATCTTTGCAAGATCAAGTAAAGTTGGTTTCAATTTTTTTAAACTTTCAAAATGTTTTAGAAAAATTTCTGCACCATCAGTCTGCTTTTAAAGAAGTTTTTTTCTACGTTTGGACTCTGTAATTGAAAAAACGTATATTCACAAAGCTGAGGTGTTCAGAAGAGTTTCGACTGAATCCGAAGATCTCTCGTGAAAGATAGTCAATTCAAGAATTATTTTGTTTCTAATAGGCTATAACTGAAATTCAGAGCACTTCAAGATGCAAGTTGTGGCAGACTCGATCGAGCTGCACCAGGTATCCGCTAAACGACCTTTCCTCTCTTGAAATGCTTCATTTCACCAGTTTCAAAGTTTTTTCTGTGGTTCGTCGGCGTTTCTGAGAAGCGAAAATTTTTTGAGTATCTTCAAGATTGACATCGATGAAGGACTTTTCAACGCTGTAGTAGACCTCATCAAAAATTATGGACTTCGGTTCGACCACTTGCAGCTCCACAACTTCAACCATCGGCAAATCGAAGTGGTTGCTATTTACTTGATAGAAAATTTGGTGTTATTCAGATTCCCCTAGAATCTGTATCGAATTTGCTATTGATTGCGAAGGCTACTGGGATTCTTTTCGATGTTCGTTCCAGCAACTTAACGCCCGAAATGTTCAAACTGCCTGGATTGGTCCAGGTTAGCAACATTTTTTTTTTCTAAAATTCGAAGTAAACAAGTTTTTCATCTCAAGTTTTGCAGTGCAAAACGATGTCCTTTGAGATGGACGACAGTCTTGTGGACGTTACCCAAATCCACTCTCCCAGAATAATCGTCCACCAGTGTGACAGAATTTCAACAGAATCCATCCGCCGGCTTCTCCAGGTTCGCAAAACCTCATAACCATACTAGCTTTCAAAAATTGTAGGACTGGGTTTCTGGGAAGAGCAAATTGGAATGTGCGCGTATTTCCAGCAATCAAAACATTTCTTTCGAGGAGATCTTTCGAGAAATGCCCATGGAACATGTCCAAGCTAGTGGATACGTCTTGACTAATGTTCTCGGGAAAAAAGGTTTTTTTTTTTCTGTGGATTCAAGAGCTTTCCAACAACTTGCTCCTGTTACAGCCTACGTAACCGTTCGACGCAACTCCTACCATTTTTTTGCAACTATTGAAGCAACGTGCAATGTTGAAGATGTTCTCTACTGGAAACCCATTTTTGAGTGAGAATCTAAAAACTTGAAAATTTTTTTCTCTTGTATTATACTTATTTCGTAATAAAACAATACGAAAATAAAACTTTATATGAAGAAAATTTTGATAGTTGGATTGAAAAAGAAAATAACCCGAAAAATAAATTCCCTGAATGCATTGGCCACCCTTAATCACAGCGGATGTAAAAAAAAAAGCTCTCGCAAGGTTAGAATTCAATTCTTTCCTTACTAGGCAACAAGAGCGCGATTTGTGAACAGAAAAAAGTTATTTGAGGTTGTTGTAGACCAAAAACAGGAGGAAACAAAGTAGATATAGCCGAGAGCTGAAATCGTTCGACAGAAGAACTTTGGCGTCCTCGACGGTGCCGCACCATTCGCGGCCTCGGAAAGTCTCGCTGGTTCCGTTGAGGACTTGGAAGCGCAGGTAAGGGAACACGCAGATCTACCAAGAAAGGTCAGGTTGGAGTTGGAGAGCGAATCTCACCGTTGAGCATTTTCTGTCCTCTTTCGGCAGTTTCGATAGGTCGAAATGGAAGGAAGCGTGTTGGATCACCTGCCAACTCAGAGATAGATTCTGCTTCCAACCTTGAGCTCACCTGTTGAGATATGGGACTGACGATCCCACGCGAGCATTTCAGCTCCGGCACAATAACTGTGGCCACCTAAATTCAGTAATTTTTTTGAAAAAAATTTTTCAACGTCTCATATTTGAATTTAAAACTTATTTTTCGTAAAATTCAACGTGAAGGTAATTTGGCAAAATATTTTCGTTCTAATTTTACACTTTGATAGTAAAAAAACAAGCCTTTTTTGAATCTTTAAAGACAGATCCGACGCCGATATAGATGTTGTCTTTAGTTACAAATAAGTCGTTGATGAAAGCGACCATGTCGTCGACTTTTTTCGGATCTTCTCGCTCTGTCTTTTTCGTTTTCACAACCATTTCCTGAATCGTCATTATTTTAGAAATTAGAAATTGCTTGGTAAAAAATGATAAATCAAATTCGTATATCTCGGCACAAATAATTTGTTTTCAATTCCAAACAGCACTTTATTGTTAGGAGTAAAGCAACTTTTTTTCTTGCTTTTCATTTTGCTTCTAGAATGAGAACTGACGAAAAATGACTGATTAGTGAGCCAGATTGAGCTATACGGACAACAATAAAAAATAACAGTAACATATGTTTCCTTAAGCGAAAAGATGAGTGGAGGATTAGAGAGGCTTTGGCGGTTAAGAAGGAGGCCGACCTGTTTGGTGGTGCGGATCCCGTCGGCGTCCTGGGAATCGTCGTCTTTGTAGAAGAGTCGGTACTCGACTCTCACGGCGAACCACGTCGCCGGCCTCAGTCCGTCGAACGCCAGCAGCTGAAAATCCCAAAAATCCGTTGTTTCTATTTTTGAAGGCATGCGAAGAATTGAAAAAAGTTTCAGATGAGGTTTCTATTCTATAGAGCTCCGGATCGCAAGTTCAAAGATCTAGTTTAGATCATATAAAATTCTGCAACCGAGAGAAAGTTTCATACCATAATTTTTTTTCACGTTAATCCATAACCTTTATTTTTTTTAACTTGCCATCCATGTAAGTTCCCTGCAGATTTTATAAAACAGTAGGCTTTGTTGATAATAAAAAATTTAGCTCACGATACACTAATATTGAAGCACTTAAAAAATAATTAGTTCCAAGAATGCGCTTTTGAATACAAAAAAGTAGGTTTTGAAAATCGCAAAAAAAAAACTTGTATGACGCTTTTAACAAGAATCTCATTTCCAATTTTTGATCGTTTTATTGCTCTTTTTTTCTTTTGCCCAGGAATATACTCCAAGGAAGTTGCCTTCTCAAATATTCAGAGCCCATAAAACTAGAAAAAGTACAAGGCGATGAAGAGTTATTATGAGGTCCTTCCCCTAGTTCGACACAAGATTAGTAGGTCATAAAAAGCGCATGTCCCGGAGAGCGGCGCTATTCATTTGTTTCCCTGCATCCGCTGACAAAGAAAGACATTCGTAAAGTCTTTTCGGTATTGGGTTCCGGAAACCCAATCACTTTTGGTGCACAAACCTCTCATTACCCTCCCGACACCAAAAGCGCGCCTTTAATATGCTCCAATCAACGCGCTAATTGCCACCCATTGCGCCAATCCCACAATCTGTGGCAGATTCCATGACTACTCCCGAAAGTCTGCTCACAGCCAGCATTTAAAAAGGTTTCGGAATCATTTTTTAAAGGAGGCTCTTTTCTTCTGTGAAGCTTCCCAATAGATTTAATTTGGAAGGAAAAAAATTAAAATTTCAACAAGATTATTTCTCTTTAAAAAAAGAAAAATATAGTGCGCAATATAATTGGAAAGTTCGTTCAAAGAAAAATTTCAAACCTGTAACAAAAAAATCGTTTTTTTGAAGCGATAATTTTAAAAAAAGTGTGCATTTGGATTTTTTCAAACATTTCTCATACTATTTCTCATTGCTGTGTTGGCATTTCCTTGAAAAAAACAATTCTGGACCGATAGATGGAAAGCAAGTCTCCGATTCGCTTTTTTTTTCTTATAAATCACGCCTGTGTTGGCTTCCCCCTGTCCATGACAACCTACACAGTGGCGAGGGCAGTTTTCTGGATTTCTAGGAAAAATTAATGAGTTGGACGAAAAACAAAAATATATAGCCGGAAGGGAAGAATGCTGGGAAAGAGTGAGTACAGCAAGAAAAGTACCTGATCGCTAGTGGCATGTTTGAGATGGGTGCGACGGAAGAGAGACTGCTGCTGCACGTCGAAGATGTGGACGGTGATGTCGAAGGAGGAGACGTTGGAGGCGTCGACGATCCGCAGGACCAGAGACGTGTCCGACAACGTCGAAACCGCGAATCGCGCCACGCCGAGCACTTCTTTCGAGAGGAGGAGCACGACCGGAAAAAGCCGCATGAACACCCGCATTTTCATCTGCAAACCAATTCTTTTGCTTTTCAACCATCTCAACCAGGATGCCAAAAAAAACTTTTCAGTGCACGTCTAGAGTTGAAAAACCATACAGTTTGCATTTTTGATCTATCGCCAGGTATAAGGCTAAAGTTAATGAACATGAAGATTTATCTTTCGATGTTTTCAAAAAACTCTTTTAAAGTACAAAATTAAAAATTGAGAGCTTTGATTACATAATTTCAAAAGGATATAAATATTGTATTTCGGGTTAAGCGAAAGGAGAAAAAAAAAAGAATGAATTAGCAGAGAGGGAGAATTAACGAGTTCCATTGAAAGTCTTGAGACGGAAAGAAATTATTGCGCATTTAGAAGCGCCTTTTCAGATATTTTGAATGGGAGTTCTCACACGAATTTTTCGTTTTGAAAACAAAAAAGAAAAGATTCAGGTCCGATGGATGAAAAGAAAGTCTCCGGCCTTTATTTATTCCTCCACCAACCGCTCACGACTAATAGTTTTGAGAAATCAATTCAAGGAGAGAAACCACTTCACATGCTTTTCGGAGGTGGGAAGTTTTTTTTTTGGTTTTTCAGCTTAGGAATAATATGAATGCTGGTATGCCACATTTAATCAGATGACTAAGAAGATTAACTTTTCCCCGAAATAAATCTTCAAATTTGAAAGTACATTTTTTTATGAATTGAGGGAAATTAGTATTCTTGATATCAATAATATCAGCTGGTCTATTAAATATTTTTAGTCGAAAAAAAAGAATTACAAGCCGAAGTACAAATTCTGGTTAAATACATCTGAAGGCTACAAAAAAGACGTAGCCGTTTGTCTGCGTTAGTAAAAGCGTGACGCACAAATCTAAAGAAGCTATTAGAAATTCTCAGAAAAACTGATGCCTCCCCAAAATGACTACTTTTTGAACTCAAAACATTTTGAGGTAATTATTTAAGCTGTGCAGCGTTAGTAGAAGATCAGTTGTTCGATAAAGAAACGAAAGATGTGAGGGTGTGGGAACAGAAATTCACACGTTCTCTGCTCCGGAATAAGATATATGAACACGTCGCCAGGCGGAAATTGGTCTCTCGAGTCAACTCGCGAGAACAAAGAGTTCCTGCAACTGCTCGCCTGCGCACGTCCTTTTTTTGTCAAGAACTTTCTTCCTGGGGACAAAACACCAGGATAATAACCTTTCTATTTTCAAAGGTTTAGTAGAAGATCTGTGATCAACGTACTCAGAAAAAAATTTGAAAAGCTTTCTCTATATTTAAACTATAATGTTTTAACAGCGCGCTGCAGCGCTTTCATCTAGTTACTCGAAAATTTCTTTTCAAAAATATTGATAATGAGAAGGATTCTGAAAAAATTGTTGAGCGCCACATTTCAAAAAATGCATTTTTTCAACCGAATAATACCTTAATCTCAAATTTGTTTACGACCGAAATCGAGTTATTGCTATAACGCTACAACCACGGAAAAGAAACTACAAATGCATATTCTTATAGGGAACATCGGACTGGCATGAGTCTGAGAAGAAACACAAGATTTCTGTGCAAAGGGGCCAAATTAGCCTCGTTCGTCGGCTCGAGAGCACCGCGTGGGAATTTCCACCGTTGCTGAGGTTCGATCCAAACTTTATTTGGCCGAGCGTATAGCTGATGATAAATTATTGAAGATCAGCGATTCGCTCGGCAATCGAGTCGTTCTTTGAAGTAATAACTTGGCTACATATGTCCTACGGCGTTCCTAGTTAGCGTAGGCATCAAGAAAGCCGAGTTAACAGCCGAGTACATGTGAAGGACTTCAAGAATGAGCGAAAAATGCTTGAGCGCTTCGAAGTGGCTCTCGACGAAAAGCCGCGCACCGGAAACGTGTAATTTCGGGTTCGAGAAAGGCTCCGACAGCCTAAATTTGCCACATAATTGCCTCAAACTGTCGTCAAAAAATCAACAAGTGCGTTGAGTATCCCAGCAATATGAAAATATGTCGTGAATTCGTGGATTTTAACCTATTGGTCTTTATTATTATTTTTTGAAGGTTTCAAATAAACAAAAGGACATTTCTCAATTTAAAAATTCCTAAAAAAAAAAAGTCAACAGTCTGAGGGAACAAATGGGGAAAAAAGGAATTGTATAATCAGAAAAAAAGGCTGCCAATGGGTATGAACAAGTGCGGCAGAAATCTCTAGAGGGCAAACGTCGACGCTGTTTTCTTTTATTTTGAGCCTTGGCAGCGCCAAAAAAAGTAAAGAAAGAAAATTCCCTGTGGGGTGCAAGTGTTAATATTTTTTAACGCTGAAAAAGGTCATGCTTTTTTTTTCTTTTCTTTTCTTTCGATTAGACCTTTTTTACTGGAAGAATAATAAAATCAGTAAAATAAAATCAGCTAGAGTTGTGATCAAGTTTCAGGCAGCTATACAAAAACAACGAGTTATTACAGCAAGGAGCTTTCTATACTTGCTTACAAAGAGCTAGATGGACAATGGGGACATCAACCGAAAAAGTCAAACAGAAGGAAGGAAAGAGAGCTCTAGAAGCGCTGAAGGGTCGGTTACATACCAAAGTAATGAGATCCTGTTGTCCTATAGTGACGATAGGTGAAGAAGCGCAAATACGGTAAGTGACAGGAAGACAAAGAGCTCCGTCGCCTTTTTGGGATTAGCACACACAGGAGGCTGCCTCGCAGGCCACGCCCCTTGGCACACGTCTTCTCAAGACAATTCCTTAGCCGCTCAACCGAAAGGGAGCGCATATTCTCGAATTAAAAAAGCCTACGAGTGAGTGGAATTGTAAATGAACAAGAAAAGTGCTGCGCGCCTGTTATTAGAGAGCGAAGAAATTTGAAATTGTTCCAGAAAATATTCTTTTTTTGTTCTTGGGTGAAATAATTATGATTTTTTTTTATAATTTCTAACAATTGAAAATTCTTTCGAAAACATTATACTTCTGCTGAATAATCAAACACTCAGAGAAAAACAAATTCACAAGCATCTCAAAATATTGGATCCAAGCGATAACCTCTTTATCATTTATCTCCCAAAATGCGACATCCATTGGCTAGGAAAACAAAAAATACATGATAATTAAATTTTCTGGCATTTTCATATTATACGGCTGGACGTCTAAGAAATGCCCGTATGCACAGGTGATTTACTAGGAAATTACTACATTTTTTTAATAGAAAAATTTTTAAGGGGCGTTGTTTGAAAGAGTAAGGGACAAATATGAGGAAACGAATTCCAGTGAAAAAAATTTATCCTATCCCCTATAGGGGCCCTAAACCAGATTTTCGGAGCCCTAATAGGAGTTGAGTTAGGGGCCCCGGGGTCACAGCGTTCTAAAGCGGGGTTCCCGCCCCTTTTCTGAAAAGCATGCGGACGTTGCATGAGCGGGCGTCACCCAACATAATTGCCGATATCGCAGCGGGCCGCACGCGATATAGCCAAGGCTTCTCGCTGCGATCTCGTCAACATGTCGCTGCGACCTCGTCAAAGTCTCGCTGCCATATCGCTCCCTTTCAAATATTTGAAATTTGAAAAACATTTTTTTGCTTTATTTTTGACTTTTATGATGAAATCAATCAAATTCAAGAAAAAAACATTTTTGAAGAAAAATGTTTCAGAGAGCGATATAGCGCAAGACGTTTGCGAGGTCGCAGCGAGAGGCGAGCGATATCGCTCGCGGCTCCCCCGCGGTATAGCGTTACTCTCGCTGCAATATAGTCCACAAAATTGGGTGGTGGCTAACAATCGTCTTTTTCGCGTCGTAATTAAGAGTCCGGATTTTTTTGATTATTTGAAGGCTAGCATTTTTTTTTCCCTGACATTTATAGTTTCCAAGTGTTGCCAGTCATTTCCTATAACTCTCTTAAAATGTCGCAGTTTATTTTCTTGTGGTTTTATTGGTTCAAAGGACTACATAATTGTTCTGTTCACGAAAGTCGAATTTTTTAACACGGGTTTGATTTTGTATTCTTTTTTTTCCTGTTTAAGTAATTGAAAACTGATAATGTGATCGATTCCTGGAGTTGAAATTTCGATTTTCGGTTTTGTCTCTTAGGTACAGACCAATTACACCTTTTTTTGAATTTTTCGTCAAGTCGAAATTTTTCTCTTTTGCGCGGACACTGACAGCTTTTTTTTTCTTGTTTATTAGTTGGAAACTGATATTTTGATCGATTCTTGGAGTTGGAATTTCGATTTTCGGTTTTGTCTCTTGGATACAGTATTTTCTTTTATAAACAACGTTTCGACACATTAACGAGCTATGGACACTTTAAAAACTTTCTAATACGTTTAAAAACATTAATTAAAAATTTACGTGCATAAAAACAAAAAAATGATTTAAAAAAACAATCAAAAAAAGTTAATAGCATGTAAATTAAAGAAAAAAAAGCACCTTGATTTTGATTGACAACGCTCCAAGTTACTCGCTCCATTGAGAATAGTGTGCGCCTCTTTTTGCGTGAACCCCGTTTTAGAACGCTGTGGGGTGGGCCCCTACAAGGGATCACATTTTTCCCCCTTATTGGGGCATGCTGGAAAGTGCGCGCTGTGCGCACTCTTTTCTCGTGCGCACGTAAGGAAAATGCGCACTCTTTTTTCAAATTTTGTACAGGAAATTGCGCGCTCTTTCTAACATCAGGAAAATGCGCACGGTTATCAAATTCCGCTCTTTTTCAAGATTGAAGTCCACATAAACCATCTCACTTTTTCTCTTTGTCATGAAGAAATCTTTCAGCTAAAGATGAATTGAACATCTTTTTGATTATTTGATAATTTATGGAGAATATTTCTTATCAGGAAATGGTCTGCGGTCATTTCGGAATGAGACCAGGTGTATTTTTTTGCAAAAAGTGAGATGCTCTTTTTGAGACCAAGCTGATTCCAAGCTTGGTCTCAAAAAGCTGCCGCGAAAAATCTGCTAAAAAAAGTGAGATGCTCTCAAAATATACAGATCTTTTTCCATCTGATAACATTAAACAATACAGGGTGGAGGAATAATTACTGCGACAA